GAGTGACAGAGTGACTTTGGTGGGCACCTGGCCAGGGTAAAACCTCCTCACCTATGCAATATATTCATCAACGACCTAGATAAAGGGACAGAGTATATCCTGAGAAAATTTGCTGACAATATGAAGCTGGGAGGAGTGGCAGATACAGTGGAAAGCTGTGCTGCCATTCAGCAAGATCTGGACAGATTGGAGAGCTGGCTGGAGCTGAAGAAAATGAAGTTTAACTGGGGCAAGAGTAGGGTCCTGCACCTGGGGAGGAATAATCCCATTCACCAGTACAGGTTGGGGGCCAACGTGCTGGAGAGTAGCTCTGCAGAGAAGGTTCTGGGAGTTTTGGTGGATAACAGGATGACTATGAGCCAGCAATGTGCCCTTGTGGCCAAGAAGGCCAAGGGCATCCTGGGGTGCATCAAGAAGAGTGTGGCCAGCAAGTCGAGGGAGGTCATCCTCCCTCTCTCTTCCGCCCTGATGAGGCCACATCTGGAATACTGTGCCTAGTTCTTGGTCCCCCAGTTCAAGAGGGATAGGGAACTACTGGAGAGAGTCCAGCAGAGGGCTATGAAGATAATTAAGGGGCTGGAGCATCTCATATGAAGAAACGCTGAGAGACTGGGCCTGGAGAAGAGAAGACTGAGAGTGGACCCTATCAACACCTATAAATATCTAAAGGGTGAGTGTCAAGAGGATGGGGCAAGGCTTTTCTCAGTGGTGCCCAGTAACAGGACAAGGGGCAATGGGCACAAGCTGGAGCACAGGAAGTTCCTCTTGAACATTAGGAAGAACTTTACTTCAAGGGTGGCAGATCACTGGAACAGGCTGCCCAGGGAGGTTGTGGAGTCTCCCCTGGAAATATTCAGAACCCATCTGGACATGTTCCTGGGTGACCTGCTCTAGGCTAACCTGCTTTGGCAGAGGAGTTGGACTAGATGATCTCCAGAGGTGCCTTCCAACTCCTACCATTCTGTGATTCTGTGAAAAAACAAAACACTCCCAGGGGTAACAACAGTTTTTAACATCTGTCCATACCCATCTAATATCAGCCATTTCTTAGAAATGTCTTCAATGCACCAAGTAACAGAAGCTGGGCTTCAGGGATGATCATATTAGTGAAAAATGTCATAGTCTACATATGCTTTTGGTTCGTTTTCTTTTATTAAATAAATCCAGAATTTTAAACTTACCTTATTAGTATTGATAGCTGTGATGACCCACACACATTGAGCATTGCTGTCATACTGGAATGGAAAATTGGGTGATGTGAAAGTGCCTCCAGGTCCCTGAAGACTGGATCCACAAGTCTTGACTGCAATAAGATAGTTCACCTTTTAATTCACATACAAAATACATACAACAGATTCGTAAACCGAATTCTGACTTAGATTAATCTAGATGTGAAGGATTAAAACACCATTGATCAAAACCAGAACCACCTCATACAAGATAATAGAATACTCATGTTTAGTTATTCTGACAAAATAAAATAGACTTGCTCTTATCTATAAACTTAAAAAAAATTTGGAGAAACTAGAACAAATAATAAACAGGACTGAAGTAAGTAATGATGAAATCTGGATCTTCACATAGAGTGTACATACAGGTAAAACTTAACATACATTACTAGGCATGTAAAGGTAAACAAACACTAGAAAAAAACCTATTTTGTTACATTTACAAGCCCAACTGAGCAATGAGGAATATATTATATTGCCTTTACAAAGAATTACAGCCAATGCATATTCTAGATATTACTAATTTATAATATGACACAAAACTTTAATACATTTGAGTAAAAAATGTTTTCACATAGAATCGTAAAACAGTTTCAGTTGGAAGAGATCTTTGAGATCAGCGAGCCCAACCTTTGTCCCAACTCTACCAACACAACTCAACCATGTCCCTAAGTACAACATCTACCCATCTCTTAAACACCTCCAGGGATGGCGACTCCACCACCTCCCTGAGCAGGCTGTTCCAATGTCTGACATCTACCAAGACTTCTACTTAAAGATATAAAAATAACTTATAAAGACTAATTATTTCAGCTTCATAATACCTCTCTCTGAGGTGGAAAGGCATGTAACTTTTGCAGAAAGAACATCCCCACTTAAAAAATTATTGACTGTTTACACATAATCTAAATTTTGGTTGAGTTCCCTTATCCGTTTTTGCTCTTTACAGCATATGTCTATAAGCCTAGCACTAGACAACAGAAAACGCCAGGATAGGTGCACTTTAAGACAACTGATAATGGCCCCAGGTCACACAATAATTCAATAGGCCCAGAATTCCTCATTTCAGGCTCTTGCTTTAATTGTCAGCTCACCCATCTTTTGGCACTGCTTGGGGATACCATATTTCCCAGGAAGATCTCTATTTAAAGCATCTTCATGTCTCTTTTTAAATAATCTCTAGATTTATGAAAATTATACACTAAATATCAAGTACCTATCCTAACCATTATCCAAATCCAGATTACTTCCTACAGTACATAACTTGTATTTTGGCTAGACTACTTTAAGTCTTTAAAGTTAATTATTTTAGCTTTTCTTCAAGGAGAAAGTATCCTCCTCCCACATACACAACTTTGCCATACCCAGGCATATCATACAATGGGATGTAGTTCCTGGAATAACTTGTTAAAATACTTTGAAGAACATCAACAAACAATCAATGACTAGCAGGGGGAAAAACAATACTGCCATTTAACATGCCAAATATTAAATTTTCATTTAATTTTTTCACTGGATTATACAGAGATGATAACATCTCACGTAAAGGAAATTTCCCAGCAAAGAGGAATGCATTAATTCCACTTTATGGGAAATCCAAACTCCTAATTTCAGATTTTTAAATTCTACCCTGTTTGTTATTTTCTTCAGCCTTATTTTTTTTCACTTATAAACTTTTTTCTGAAAAAAAATTCAGTAAGAGACCAATTACACCACTTGAATGTGTCACTGTATGCGTACATGTGGAACAAACCTGCTTAAAACAGTCATATGTCCATCTCAGAACCAGAATATTTTCTAACTTTGGAACAACCTTCCAGTATCTCCATTTATTCTCTGACACATTTGCTTATACCTTAAATGGTGATGATAACAATTTCTTGTTGCTTGATAAAAGTACAAAAATTTCTTGACTTTGTTAGCCATGCATGAGTCCTAAGAATAGATTACATTTGGCTAAAACGATGTTATTTTTTTCCAGTCAGTATTGACTATTGAATAGTAAAACATTTATGCGGGCATTACATAATAATATAATATATAGCCATAGCCTCTGACTCATAGTGGCAATTTGAGGTTTCCTGTAATATTCTGTCATTAACTATCTAGCTCTGTGTTAAAAACTAGTTCTTACATGGCACTTTTCAGATCTTACAGGCATTTGTAAAGAATTTTAACAACTCAATTCTCATTTTTTGTCATTGCCCAGATACACAAGGGGAAGTTGGGCATGAAAACCAGGCCTCCTAGATAACAAGTACTCTAACAGTCCATATTGTTTAGTAAAACCCTTGTTCCAATCTGGCTGCAGAAGTTATTAAACTTCATTGGACATATTTTTAACTTTGTACAACCACATATATATAGGACATATATTCTCACTGACTCATGGGGTTTTACTTCGATACCTATATCTTTACTAAAGTATTACAAAACCGTTTAAGTTATATTTTATATGTTCCCATTTATATATTTCCCATTTAAAATAGATTCCTCAAGTGATATTACAACACCAGATTGATTCACTCTTTAGCTTTGGGACATCATTTATGTGTTTCACCTCCTTGAGGTTTGCCGAACGTTAGGCTGAGATATGGCATTTACGTCAATATGCAGGAAGCAGCAGATACAGATTTTTTTACAGACAGCTTTCTCCAGTCATGTTTAAGTTAGTCACTCACAATTTACAAATCATAAAATACTATTAATGATTTTTTTGGTGACCATTGCTTTAAAGTGAATTCAAAATATGGAGGTTTCGAGAAATCTTCCCAAATTTTCCCTGTATGTAGCTACTACATCTATTCATAATTACTTATAATTTCAGTTAAAAGAGGGAATATTTTTCATGTTGAACCCTGTTAGTTAAGATATTGGATGATATTTAAGCTACTTGAATGTGAACCTTTCTTCAAAGTTCTTTTGCAGTATATAGTAGATTTCTTTAACTTCAGAAATCTGCAATGCATAACAGTAGAAATATCCAAGGGCAATTTTAAATAAAACTATCTTCTTATGCTTGAAGAGTCCAATTTCTCTGCCAATATAAACAGTAATATGTTTAGCTTGCTAATGGTGTTTCAGTTATGTTAGTTCTGCATTAGTAAGACTTTCACCACATAGTATGCAATGTAGTTTCAATTATTGACATGATCTCTAAACAAACTTAAAATCATAAATAACCAGGAAGTATAGACTTTTATTATTTAAGATGTAATCATGCTTTTTATTCTTCACTCTTTTTTTTGAGAAAAATACAACTCTTCTGTACTTCTGTATTGCAATACAGCTTATTCAATTTTGGTTTTCTTTCTGAAAAAGAATGTATGACTGCATGTCCTAATGTTTGTTTCATGTGAACTATACCTATGACTTTAATGTGCAAGTAGAAGAAACAGTAAAAAAAAAAAAAGAAAAAAGGAGAAATGCTTAAAGGAGGACAACACTGTGAAGAAACTGTCTAAGCAACTTGTCATGGCCAGTAATATGAAAATAAACTGTGGTGAAAACTTAGTATAGAATTGATAAATTTGGAGCCATTAAATAGATAGAAAATATCCAATACAGTCAATACTGTCTTGGCACTTTATGAGGCTTAGAGGGAAATGGTAAAGCCTTGGAGTACTAACTAGGGTGGGGGGTGGAAATCATGTCTCATTTTTTATGCAGATCTTCACTGAGGATGGAAGATGCTATAGCAGAGTTTCCCCGATGTTAACCATCTTTTAGTAATGGTAAGAGGATCAGCTAATATCAGAGAATTTACCAGTCTTCCAGTTCCTTTGTAATTCTTCCGCCAGATAACCAGTCTTACAGTATTGTAAACAAAACAATATATGGGTCCATAATGGAATTTTTTCCCCTTTAGCAAATGGCAAAATGTTGCCTTTCAGCCTCTCTTCATCTTTTGTTATAAGTTTTTCTCATGTTACTTTGGAGAATTAATAAACGCAAATGAATAGGGTAAAATAAAAATGCCAGTTAGTTGTGCCTGTGAACTGAGGACTGAATGATGAGATGGAGAGATGGGATGGAGCACCTATGAAGTCAAATGACTGTCACTGAGTCTAGACCATGAAGCAATACATCTCTTCACTAGATCTAATGGGTCTTCATTAGTTTAAAGAGATTTTTCTTCTTCTCACTCCACGTCAAATTTTAAAAAGTTAGAAAACAGTTCTTCACAAATAACCTAACACACACAAAAAATGAAATTATTCTACACCTATAATTCTTCTTCAGATTTTCCTTAGCCATCTTAATATGATTCACTGATAATTACCTGTACTTGGGAAGTAGTAGGCATCCTACATGTGCAAAAGTAAATTAATATTGAATAAATAATGAAATAATACTAAAGTTACATTTAATTTGTTAAAATGACAATAGCAGCTGCATATTTTATATCAATAAGCACTATCAAATTGTTTAACAACTTAAGTGGTGAATGTCAGATAATGTGATGAATATCTAATACCAAGCTATACAAAGGAATAGACTCCCTAAGACGGTGGCCAGATTTCACACCATAATCAAAGTTTCATAATGATAAATTTTCTTTCCATTTTACACAACTAACAGAAAACATCACAACATATTTGATTCAGCTTTGAAAGCACTTACAATAGTCTGTAACATCAATACAACCTAAAATTTGCTGTCTGCTATTGGGACCCTGCATATTCCTTCTTTCTGCACTCCTAGGGGCTCAGCTGACTTTGTTTAAAGGAAGCTTTGATGTGGTACAGCTGTAAACTTGGATCAGCCTGCTGGAAAGTGTGTGTGACAAAGAGCTATAGTAAACCCTGTTAGTCCTCACTCCACTCAGGAGCTGCATTTGACAGCTCAGACACTTGGTCCTTCCCTGAGCTGCTTTGTAGTGTGCCAATGCATGCAGCCTGAGAAACAAGCAAGACCAGGACCGCATACTTAGTCAAAGAGCTAGGATCTCATTGGAATTATAGAAATGTGTGATAGCTCACATGACTGGAATACCCCAATGGATGGTTACAAGCTATCCAGGAAATGCAGAAAGGGTAGAAGAGTGGTTGGCCTCTACATAAAAGAAAGGGTT